GAAAATACGTTGAAGAATCTTTAGATAAATACAAGGTATTTATTTCACTTTGTTCGTTTGCTCTTATGTTGAATTTGCTCACTTATCACATTTCTAAATTTATTACCAAATCACAAATATGAATTTAGGGAGAACTTCAGAGAGTGCTTTGGCCAATATTTGTACACGCGTATCTTGAGCTTGTTTCGAAAGAACATATTGTTCAAGGTTTTGCAAATTAAATGCATTTTGAGCATTTTTATTTATGTCATTATAAATTAACGTCTGAAAATTAAATTTTACAGCGACAGAGTTTTTCGACACTTTCGAATCGGATCACAGCACTCATATTAAAGAATTAAAGTCATTACGTGTAATAACACATGCGCATCATATACAGGAGAATGAGCTTGCTCAAAATTTTCTATCTAAGAAATTTCCGGTACAGATGACAAATACAGCATACGATATATTTATAGATTTTTTACAAGACAAAAGTTTTCTATTAAGAATAGTGAATCAGCATCTTAATATTGAAGGTAAGTGTTTAGTATCATCCTATATATCTCATTCTCTGGATTAATTCTATTGTACTAAGCATATTAGTTGGCACATCACATACCGAGATTGGTATTCCCGGTTTCTCATCACAAGAACTTGAAGAATTTAATCAGCAAGAAGTTCTACTGGGACACATGCCAATGGACCCAGCTATGCGTGATGAAGTTGAGAAAGTGCTTAGTGACGAAGATAATTATCGAATAGCACAGATCGAAGCCGAATATCAGTCAGGGACTGATGAACAGAAGGTATTTATATATATTAAAAAAACTCTTTTATTTATAATTTTATTATAATTATTTCAAATTTTAAATTAGGCGAATGGTATTGGATACCAATCTCACTCACTACAACAAGAGTTCATTGAAAAGGTTAAAAGGGAACAAAGTTCAGACGCACCCGATCGAGCATCTATTCCGCTACCGTCATAGTATGTTTTGATCATTTAATTATAACTAAACCTATAATAACGCGAATATGGATTTACATATCTGACCTGAGAGCCATTCAGCAAAGGATCTGATATACGTGCACAGGTCGAGCTCATCAAAGACATATCACAAAGAATAGAACTGGGACCATCCACCACTCTTCCGTCTGTTTGTTTTTATACCTTTCATAACACACATAATAGGTAGGTTTATTAGTATATAATATACAGTTTTTTGTACTTGTAGTTACAAAACCTTAATGATGCCTATCGCCTATCAGTTTAAATTGCATATCTATATCGGAAGATGCGTCTCTTATTGCAGGAGGTTTCTCAGATTCTTGTATTAAATTATGGAGTTTGAAAGGTGAAAAACTGAGAGGATTCCAAAGTCATGTTAATCTTCCCGAAATAAATTCAGGTAAATTTATAAGAAACTTTCTATTCTGTTCATTATCTAATTTTACGAGTAATAAGTTTTTTATATTGGTCATTTGTAAGCAAGCGATCTTGAAAGTAAACGAGAACATCCTGGCAGTGACTTTAAAAAACTCCTTGGACACTCTGGACCAATATTTGGGTTAAGTTTCAGCCCAGATAACAAGTATCTTGTTTCTTGTTCTGAAGATAGAACCGGTATGTAAGTCGTTACGTCAAATCTCTGAAAATTATGTGTGTGTATTAAATTTAAATTTATTTTTTATCCATAAACATAAAGTAAGACTTTGGAGTACAGATACCTACACGAGTGTTGTTTGTTATAAAGGTCACAATTCACCTGTCTGGGATGTAGACTTTAGTCCCCATGGGTTTTATTTTGCAACTGCAGGTCACGACAGGACTGCAAGATTATGGAGTTGTGATCATATTTATCCTTTGAGGATCTTTGCCGGGCACTTATCAGATGTAGATGTACGTAAAAATTTTTTTCAATACACTGTTTAAATAATCACAAACATGAAATGTTAATTTCATTCCTTGTATTGAAAAATATAAAGTGCGTGAAATTTCATCCCAATTCTAAATATGTAATTACCGGATCTATTGATAAATCTGTTCGTATGTGGGATATTCAAAGAGGATCTTGCTTTCGGATATTTTCAGGGCATGTTGGAGGAATTTATTGCTTGTCTGTATCGCCGGATGGACGTATATTGGCTTCTGGGGGTAAGTTATTTCATGGATATTTATAGTTGTTTAATAAGATACAAACATGCATTGATTTTGTAGGTGAAGATAAAACCATTATGTTATGGGATCTCGGGAACGGAAAGTTGCTCAAAAAGATGATAGGACATACAGATGTCATTTATTCATTAGATTTTAGTAAAGAGGGTACTATTCTTGCATCAGGGAGCGCTGATAACACCGTTCGATTGTGGGACGTGAAAAAGGGCATTTCCGATGATTCGTACGATGTAGATAATTTATCAACAAATAAAGTTAGATCTCAAGATAGTGAAACAAAACCTTACTCTTACATGAAATCATCAGCGCCAGCTGTAATTC